ATTTCTAAGAGTCTCTATCGTCTCAACAGTTCCATACTCTGTTCCAAGATTGCCCAAAAGTTCAAATCCACAGTCTCCTCTGACACCCAGCAAGTCTGCGTTGTGAGTTTCTAAAATTGAAAAAGATCTACAAGTATCCAGTGCCTAAAGGTACAGAGTAAACATTTCCAATTACAAAAATAGGGGCACAGAAAGAAGGGATGGGACCAAAGCAAGACTGAATCCAGCCGGGCAAACAAGTCCTGTAGTTCTGTGTCCAGCACCTGGGGCACATGGTTCTATCCAAAGGGCTTATGGAGCTCCGCCTCCGGGGCCTTGTTGGTTGCAGCCCAAGTAGCCTTTCTGTTGGCTTCTCTCCGCTCAATTTCTGCAGCTTTCTTTTGACAATGTCCCATGTTGCTGGCATTTCTTAATCTTGGGGCGTCTCCACTGCAGCTTTGGCTTCCTCCTCCCATCTGCACACTTTGACTTCTCAGGGGGTTTGCGGGGACTCCCACTCTGCTGCACTTTGCCTGGCCGCCCAGCCTTCCTTTGAAACCTTGGCGGAAGACTCCATGGCCCCTAACTCCAGCACCCTGCACCACGTGGTTGATGCCAAGGTCTGCTGGCATCTCGAGCAGTAGTCAAGCCTCCAAGGACCCTAGCTGCAGCAGCCTCTGAGCATCCGGGTGATGGAGCATGTTCAAAAAACTTCCTAGGCCCCCTTGTGCAAGAAGGGTGCCCCACTGGTCTCTTCTCAAGAGAATTTTTATTTTTACTTCCGTGAGTCTGGGATGAATATGATCTTGACAATTCCTGAGATGCCCTCAAGCCATCTTTCTTAGAGTCTCAGGGTAGAGCCTCTAGCATTTCTTTAGTGGCAGTAATGTCTTTAACAACTGCAACTTCCTTAGCCCCAGTAAACCCCCACCTTTCAAGTCCAAGTTTTTCAAATCTTTCTACTCTGCTTTTCTGCTCCTGATTATTACAACAAATTTAGCTAAAAGTTGCCAGCAATATCCATGTCACCCCCTGAATGCTCTGCTGACTAGAAATTTCCTCTGCCAGATGAAGAAGTTCATCATTTTAAAAATTAGCCTCACCAAAAGTCTCAGGACAGGGCAAAATGCAGATAAATTATCAGCCAGGACACAGTATGGAATGGCCTCTAGTCCAATTATGACAGTGTCCTCCTAAACGCTCGTGAGCCCTGTCTTCACTGTCCACAGTCCTATCGGCATTCTTGTCTTCTGAGCTCCCACCAGAATCAGCCATTAAACTCTGTTTACAACAACCAAGAGCATTTCCAGCTCGCACTGCTACACATCTCAACCCCCCCCCCCCCCCGCCACACACACACATGTCCAGAAAGCTCCACATGCTTCTGAACCACATGCTCAGGTTAGTCACAGCAACTTCCCCACTTCTTGGTATCAATTTCTGTTTTAGTCAGCTTTTAACCGCTATGACAAAAACACCCAACCAGAACAGCATTAGAGGAGGAAAAGTTTATTTGGGGGCTCTCGGTTTTAGAGGTCCCAGTTCACAGACAGCATGCTCCATTCCTCAGAGCTCGAGGTGAGGCAGGACATCATGGTGGAAGCGTGTGATGGAGGGAAGCAGCTCCCATGAAGATCGGGAAGCGGAGAGAGCTGTTGTTGGTATTCTTGATGATTGCCGTTTGATCTTGAGTGGGAGGAAATTCCAGTGTAGTTTTACTTTGCTTTTCCTTGATTGCTAGGAACGTTGGACATTTTCTCATGTATTTGTTGACAATTTGTGTTTCTTCCTTTGAGAAATGTCTGCTTAGTTCTTTTTTGCCCCTTTGTTTATTGAGTTATTGGGTTTTTTGATGTTAAGTTTTTTTGAGTTCTTTACATGTTCTGGATATTAATCCCTTGTCAGAGGAGCGACTGGCAAAGACTTTCTCCCATTTGTAGGCTCTCTCGTCATACTCTTGTTGACTTTGCTGTGCAAAAGCTTTTTAATTTGATGTCATCTCATTTATTGATTCTTGGTTTTATTTCTTGAGATTTAGGGGGTCTTGTTAAGGAGATTTCCTGTGCCAGCATGTTGGAGCACATAAACACTCTTTCAAATGACTTCCAGTATGATTTGAAATTTCATTGCTTAATTCTTAGCTATTTAAAAAAAATTAAGATTTTTTTTTTAGTTTTCTCGATTTCCCAATATTTTCCTTTCTTTTTTTCTTTTTCACTTTTTTACCTTTTCCCCCAATATCTTCCTTTCTTTCATTTTTCTTTTTTACCTAGAACACCCACATCTTTGGTTATATGGACTCCTCAAAACTTTCTCATGGTTTAATGAAATAATCCTGTATCATGGGATATATTCATTGTTTTCATCTCAGGAGACCCTGGTCTAGAACTCTCTTAGCCTCAGCATTTTTACTGTGAGTCCGTTTTTTCTCATGTCCACATCTCGAGTAATTATGCTGAATGAGTGATTTTTGAGAATGGCCTTTCACTCTCTTTTCTGTGCCCCTGAATTTTCACAGATTGGACATATGTTCTGAAGCCAGGGGGCACCTGGAATCTGAAGCCCCCACCAGTTCCTGGACCACTTGGGCTTTTTTTTTTTCCCTAACTGTAGAGTCCCATTCATTCGTATCATAGCAGTAAAATTAAGCCTTTGAATTTTAGATTAGAGGGAAAGGATTGTAAGGGTCCAGCCAACGTTGGAGGAAGAGACCACCAAGAGACCTCGGCTCATGCAACAGCAAAAGGGGTTTATTGAGGATCCAATCCAGCACGCTGGGGCTCTGTGTTCACTCAAGAAGGGAGAGCAGCCCAGAGCCCAGAGCAGGGGTTGAGCAATGCTTAAGTACACTTTTTGGGGAGGGCGGGACTTTACATACATCACAGTCTCCTTTAACAAATCATTATACACCAAGGGAAAATCAAACAACAATTCTGAGACATGATTAGTACATTCATTGGCAGGAACAGGTTGGGCGGGGGTGATAGGTCAGTTCTAAAGCAGGGTACACATTCAAACTGATTGGTTCAGGCCCTGCGATGTCTACGTGCAAGGTCACACAGAGTCCTAGGTTATTAAACAACCAGGTGGTCAGGGGAAATATTTACTGGGCGGTTCCAAGTATTGTCTTAACAACTACAGGAATTTCAGGTTTTACATGTAGCATAGGAACTTAACAATACCTGGTCCTTTACATTTTAACTCAGGCCTTGCAGCTTAGAAACTTTACAATGCTCGGTCTTTTATACTTTAACTTTTACACTTTAACTTCAATTTCTTTTACCCTTACATTATCCTTTCAGAAAAGTTCCATTATAGACAAAAATAAAAAGGTGACGATACAGGGTTATCTACAGGATTACAGGTTTAACTGCAGACTGAGAGGGAAACGGAACTGTGGGAAGGGCTCTGTCCCCAGATCCTGTTAGCCATCCAGGCCGTTTCCAGACCAGCCTGCTGGACTCCTCCTAACCAAATCCTTTCCCCAGTCTAGACGGAGTGCAGCTGATGGGTGGGTCACACTGCACCTGCCTGTCCCCCTACCTGCATCCCACCTGCCCGCAGCTCGGCAAGGTCGGCTCTTAGCTTCCTCTCATCACTGATCTGTGCTTTTATTCACTGATCCCTAGACTTTTACCTGGTTTATTTTCCTCTGTATTTTCCTAATGTGTAATTACTTACTTTCAAACATCTCACACACAGTCATGTGCTGTGTACTGACTTTTCAACCAACAATGGACTGCATGCATGAGGGCGGTCCCAGGAGACTATAAAGGAACTGGAAAATCCCGACTACCAGTGATGGTGCAGCCAGAGGAATGTTGTCGCACTGTGCGTTACTCACATTCGCAGTGACACGGTGTGAACAAACTTACTCCACTGCCACTCGTATAAAAATACAGCACGTTGAATTGTGTACAACAGAAATCCAGGATGAAGATAATAAGTGACTTTGTTACTGGTTTGTATATTTGCTATTCTATACTTTATTGTTTTAGAATGAACATCTACCTACATAGAAAAGTTTACTGCATGCCCTGTGACCCAAACAGCAGCCTGGTACATCTTGGGCTCCCTATCTCTTGACTGCAACAAGAGGCTGCTTCTGGTGATTGCTCTGTGCCATCCAGGTTTATGTGTGTACATGATGTGATGTTCACACAGTGACAAAGTGGCCTAAGGGTGCACTTCTCTGAATGTGTCCCCGTTGTTAAGTGAGGCATGGCAGTATGCAGAACATAATGTTTATTTGCATGCATTTGAGACTGTTAACAGCATCAACTACATATTTAAATGACATTTGAGGAAAGATATTTGAATGGACTGTTTCTTGGTTCTTGACCAATTGTCTCTTTCTATTGTCTTTAACATATGCAGATAAGTGTCAATCAAAATGTTGGAGCCATGAATTTTTTTCCCTTGAAGCTCTATAGCCTGTTTCACTATCTTATGGCATGATTTTGTCTTGGAGGGGAAGTGTGTGCTACGCCCGCTTCTTCTTCTTCTTTTTTTTTAAATTCCTTGTCTATTATTTTACTCTCCTTTTTGAGATCAGACCCTTAGAGGATTTTCCCTTTACATTCAACTCAACAAACACGTACTAAGCATGGACTCTTGTCGTGTAGTTTTCTAAGACCTGAGTCTACAACAACACAAGTGATAGCTGAAGCCTTCCTACTGCTTCACATCAGTTACGGGTGACTGACATCGAATACTTAATTATGAGTATGATGAGCATTATTGAAGTTCACAGGGCAAAGGTGGGCATATAGCTGGAATAATTTAATGCATCTAAAGATGAAAGAGCAGCTTTCTTGAGAAAGAGATAACTCCAAAGAGGAAGCCTTTGATACCATTGCCTACACTTTGGTGGCTACTCTGGAAGGTTGGGTAGAGTTAGAACGTGGGAGGGAAAGAAGAATGTACAGTCAGAGGGAGAATTATACACCCAGGCAAGGAGTGGGGAAGAGGTACCTCATGGAGGAGTGCTGGAGGACTTCATCCAAAAGAGATATGCAGAAAGGTGGGTTTGAGATGGTTTTAGTTTTAAGATGTTTTTCTAAAATTAAGAGCCAAAATAAAAAGTTCTAAATAGCTATGGATTGGTAAGTAGCATGACTGGATTTTTATTTTGAAAATCTCTCCAGTTGCAGAGCTGCAGGATTGATTTGAGGATGAGACTCAAGATTCACTGCTAGAAGGCCAAACCGAAGGCCAAATTGAAGAGCTGAGCTGAAGGACAGGTTGACGGTTGTGAGAGTGGAGAACATTTAACATTCAGCCCAGCAGGACAAGGCTTTTCAGTTTGTTCAAGGGTGAGAAGAATCAAAACAACTGAGCTTTCTTGTTTGAGCACCTGAATGGATAATGGTGTCATTTAAGAAGTCAGGGACGATGGCACAGGGCACATTTAGGAGGAAATAGAAAATATTAGGTCAGCTCTGGTCATATTCCAGAAAGCAACGGAAGGAGTTGGTGCTCATGGGACAGCACTGGGCCGGAGATATGGAAAGCTTGTGGAGAAGATGCAGTTGCACACTCGCTGTGTAGACCAAGGCCAGAAGAGAGAGGGGGCTCAGAGGGTTGTGCAAGGGAGCACTGGAGAGAAGGAGCGTCTGGGAGAGGAGACGGAGCAGAGGCACTTAGAGCAGGTGGAGTAAGGTGTCCCTGAGACCAGCCAAGAGCAGGTTTCTAGCAGGAGCCTGTCAGTGGCCTCAACTGTCTCAGGACAAGGGTTGAGCAGTGTCCTTTAGAGAGTGTCACAATAAGGCTCTTGTTTCTCTTGTGAGAGGAATCTCAGTGGGAGAGTGGAAGTCACAACAGTTGGTTGAGGATCACCTGGGAGGTGAAGAACAAAGCTCAGGAGAGAAGACAGCTCTCTGAAGAAACGCCTCTCACCCCCTGCTGGGTTGCCCCCTCCAACAGGTGTGTTTTATGTCTTGAGTTTTCTTTCGAAATTTGACCAGTGTACGTCTTGATAAGGTATGGTTGGTTCTCTCATTCTCCGAAATTAAAAGTGCTTCGTCTATGTACATTTTCTCCTACTACACTTTTGATTATTGCGTCAATTTTTTTGCCGTCTTTCTCTGCAGAAACATCCATTCATTAGTTGAATGCTTGTAATCTATCAGATTTATCTGTCAACATCCCCAGTATGCTCCTGTTAATTTTCATTCCATATTGATTTAATAATCGATTTTTAATAATTCTGTTAGTGTGCCTAAAATTAATTCTGCACTTTTAAATCAGGTTTGGGTAGCATCATGTCCTTCCTATTCAACTGTTTTTTGAATTATAATTTTTATATGGATTTATGGCTTATATCTGACTGTTCTTATTTCATAGAAAATATATTGCTTGTATCTAAATGACCATTAGAGGTGATCTTTCCTAACTATTTAATTTCATGAAGTTTAGTAGAAGAAAAATTTATTTAGGAATCTAAACCAAAAAAAAAGGCCAACTGTTATATACTTGTTATATTCTTAGTTTTAAAAAACCACTGTCTACTTTAAAAGATTATTTATTGTAATAATTGCAGAATGATTTCCTGAAGTGGAAGGTGAGGTGGCTCCCTGAGCTGTGTCCAAGATGGTGAGTATCATAAAGATGGGGGAAAAATGCCTTTCTTCAATGCTACTTGATTTTGTGAAATCTCATAAATTTCATGGGACACAAATGCCATTTATTACTGAGATGGCTCAGATGCAGAGGCCAAGAGACACCTGAACAACCAAAGTGGAACTGGGAAGAGCAGACGAGGGGTCTGTTCATGAACGCGGCTGCACTGCTCCAACCTCTAGTTTCTGAACTGCTATTACATCAAATAATGCCCCTAGGGACCTCTGCCACTGCCCTCTCTCACCTCAACAAAGATTTCCTGGAGAAAATTTCATTTAAAAACTAATTGATAATTTTTACATGTGTGTTATTTTTAACGACTGTGTGTACAAAGCAGATTCTGTGGATGAGAATTGGTGAGTAAAATATATTTGCTGTTTCCATTATTTAATATTTAGATATAGGTCAATACCGCCCCCCATCCCCTCCCCCAATTTTCAAGTTAACCCAGATCTTTCTAATGGGTGCAGAAGGATGATGGATGCTTAACATATTCTGCAGTTAGTTTTCATGACAACATTTATGTCAGATAAAATTCTTCTAGGATCTACCTGCTTTTAAAACTAATTTACTTTTTACTACACTATAGGTCTCACTAATGTTCTAAGATTCCTTTTTTTTTCTTTTTCTTTTTATCATTTTTCTCCTTTGAGGTTAAAATATGCAAATCTGGAACCACACTGTAAGAGGTCAGATCGTGGACATTCTGGTTAGATGACCTTTCACTGTAAAGCTGTTTCATGGGAAGACCTCCTTTGAACCCTACTTAGCACTCTACTCCTTTCTCTTGAACTTCAGAAAGTTTCATGGTTTCTTTTGATGTCTTATCACAGCATCTCCAGGTGGACTCCACTGTTTTCAGCTGCCGCTGGGAACAGGAAAAGCCACTGGCTACTGAGACAGTGGCTGACATTACGGTCAACATTCAGAAGTTGACAGACAAGTAACTTCTTCAACTTATGGTCCACTGTCTTCTTCACGCTGCACGGCTCTTAGCAAGAGGGGTGAATTGACGGGACGTTTTCATCCTTGCAGGATCATAAGCAGAGAGATGGTGGAGTGAGACCATACTGAGGCCCTCTCAAGCACACAAGTTCACATTCCTCTTTAACCATCCAATTTACCATCTGTCAGCCTCAGAGACTCTTCCTAAACTCCAGCACACTTTCTCCCCCACCTCTCTTTTTCATTTACATTTGTATTTCACAAGCTCAAGTGTTTTTTCTGAGACTTAGTTTTTTTTTTAAAAAACAAACAAACAAAAAAAAACAACTGTGATGTTTGTCTAATTCTGATTCAGAAATTCCCTTTCAATCGTTGCAACATTACCTGCCCCAAATCCCACACATGCATTGCCAGCCACAGAACCTCCTGCAATGTTCAGTTTCTGTGCGTGATATTTAAGCCGAAAAACACTCTCTCATTTTATTGTGCCATTCTTCAGTCATGATCCGTGTGACCCATCAGATTTGACATTGGTTTTTATGTTCCTTCTTGGACACACAATGTAGCAATATATCAAGACCCAGTGTTGGGCAATAGAATTCTTTCTTTAGCCCTCTGTGAGTCAGGACCTCGGGATTTTCACAATCATCTTTAAAGTCCCCTGGCTTTATGGTACCTCATTTCCTAAAGTATAACTCTATTTACAAAGTGAGCGATTGGGAAATGGGGCAAAGAGCAGATGTGTCAAGAAATGCTGCTGCTGCTGCAGTGTGGCAAGAGTTCTGTCCAGGTCTGCACCAAGTGCTGTGGAATCCATGCATGCCCAGAGAATCGTTATTCATGATAGCCAGAAAGTAGAAAAACCCAACGTCCAACCGGTGAACGGGACAAAACACAGAATAGTCACACACTGGAAATTACTTGGCAATAAAGAGGAATGAAGAGCAGCACACGGTACAAGGAATGAGCCTGAAAACATTATGTGGGGTGATAGAAAGCAGTCAAAAAGGACCCTCTACTGTATGGTTCCATGTATGTGAAATGTCCAGAATGAGCAGAGCCATAGCAACAGAAAGTAGATTGGCAGTTGCCCAGGGATGGTGAGGGGAGGGGTGGGAGAGAGGATGGTGGTTGGAGGAGGCAGGATTTCTTTTTGGCGTGATGAAAATGTTCTTAAATTGATAGCAGTGATGCTTGCACAACTCTGTGAATATATGAAAAGCTATGGAGTTACATGCTTCAAATGGGCGAATTGTTCTATATGAATGACATTTTAATCAAGCTGTTAAAAAATGCTATGGGAGCAGAGAAAAATGTATGAATCATTGACATTGTCATGGGGATGGTAACTAGCACTTACAGAACATCTGATCCTCAGCACAGCCTTCAGCTGGGTGCCATCACCCCCATATACCGAGAACTGAATCTGTCCCTGGCCCCAGAGCAGAGTCAGGAGGTGGTCTCCAGCCTGTGGGACTCCTGTCAGCAGTGTTTACCACACTTCCTCTCAGAGGAGGTGATGTTTTTACTTCTCTTTAAAGTATCTACAGGAGCTCATGAGGCTGGGATGACCAGATAGGGGCATTCAGACAGAGAGGCACGTGGCCAAGGTCCCAGCAGAAAAGAGACATTGCGTGCAATCTGGGTAATTTGAAGAGAGATAAGAGATCAACAAAATGGCCACTTTCAAAGGCATGGACAGTTCAAGGAACCAAGCTAGGGATAGTAAAGTCCTGACACATCCAGGCTTGCAGGGGCACAGAGGAGAAGCTATTGTGGAACCCGGACAGGATGTTTATACATACAAGGCTGCCTTCCTTCCACAAAGGGACACAGCAACAAGAGCATCCCAGTGTGCTGAGAACACAGACAGCAACTGCCCTGATTCATTCTCCTCCTGCCTCTAATCTCTGCCAGGCCTTTTTATACACTATACACAGCAAGAGGCTAGAGGGCAGAGAGTGTCATGAAGGTAGACCTAGAGGGACAAATGGAAGGTATTCAGCATAGATGTGGAGGCGTAAAGATAACAGCAAGTTCAAGGGTTGGTAAAGGGCACAGTGAACCATGATACCATCCTAGTGGTCTACCCTGGTTCTTGGTCTTCCCCATCTTCTTGCCTTGAAGCCAGGTTTTGTGTCTGTACACCTGAGAGGTGTCCTCAAAAGATTTTCCCGAGTGAGCCCCCAAATCCTTCTTCCCTTTTTCCAAGACATTGCAGGCTCTCATTTTCCTAATTCCTCATGCCCTTGCTCTTACCCTCATGGACCATCTCAGACAGGGAAGGCTTTCCAAGATACGTGAACTTCTAAGCTACACACATTCTAGTTGTATGACCTTACACAAGTTATTTATCTCTGTGTGTCTTAGTTTTAACATCTGTAAAATAAGAATAATAATATCTACCTTTAAGTTAGGTTTAGGTTTTTATATTATTTTTCTCAAAAATCTAGCATAAAAATCTAGGTAAATTCTTATTAATAAATGGAGAAAATTAACAAAACCTTTGTGACAGAGTTAACACAAAGGACACAAACACTTGAAACAATGGCCATGTCAGAAAACTTTGGTGGGAACAACAGCTCAACATAATTTTACTGGAAGACATTGATTTCCTAGAATTGAGTTTCCCAATATGGTAGCCACATTTGGGTACTGAGATATGAAATGTAGATATCAAAATCTATATGTCATCAAATATACACAGACTTAAAATACAGTATTAAAATGTAAAATATCTCAATAAAATTTTATACTGATTATATATTAAAAGGTAATCTTTGGATAGGCTGGAAAACATTGAATAATACACATTACTAAATTTAATTTCACTTGTTTCCTTTTTACGTTTTTATACTGTGGATACAAAAATTTTAAAATCACATTTGTGGTATGGTTGTATTTCCCTTTGGACTCTTCTAGAAGAAAAGAACTTTAGATACAGAAGCACTAATGAATTCGTTTTGGTAAATCTTTTTATGTTAATAAACAAATAAGATTTGGCTAGAAAATTAGGTTTATTAATGTGAACCAAGATATTTTGTTTAGAAGTTGGAAGGCATGATTTCTTATAAAAGAATGTAAACATTTGTTTTCTTGTCTTCATGTTCTCCAAGGAAGAGTCAGGCATTGTATTAAGTGCTCAGTGAATGCTAAGTTAAATTGACTAAGATTGGGGAAGGACTAATTCATAAGAGAAGAAATTGAGGTGTTAGAGCATTGTGAATTTGACGGTGTACTCACTTTTACCAGTGGGTTTTATATGATGTTTTCATGTCACTAATTAATGTCTTCTTGTTTTAGGTTGAGGAACTCTGGTTAGCATGTCTGATCAGGAAGTCTAGTAATGATGCACTGCCTCAGCTTTGGCTTGTCATGGAATGTCTTTGTTTTCCCCCTCATTTCTGAAAGACAGAATTCCCCGATTAGAAGATTTTCCTTCAGCACTTCCAGTATACCACCCTACTTTTGCCTGGCCAATAACATTTCTGCTAAGAAATTATCTGATAACCTTATGAATGCTCCCTGGTATGTAAAGAGCCTCTTTTTTCTTGCTGCTTTCAAATTTCTCTCTTTGTCTTTGGTTTTCGGCAGTTTGATTTCAGATGGCCCCTAACTTATGAGGGTGTGAAAGCCATACTCACTCGGTAGAAACCGTACTCTGAATTTTAAATTTTGATCTTTTCTGAGGCGAGCAATTTGTGATATGATATTCTCTTGTGATGCAGGGCAATGACCATCAACTATACCTCCCAGTCAGGCACAGAAGCATGTGGACAAACAATTGAGACCACACAGTGAACTGTTTTTATGAGCTATGATGTTCAGTGGGTTGACATATTAAATGCATTTTGACTTATGATATTTTCACTTTATGATAATTTATTTGGATATATTCCCAGTGTAAACTGAGGAGCATCTTGATAAAGTCTTCTTTGGGTTGACATGATTGGATACTTTTGAGCTTCATATATTTGGATGTTCATATCTCTTACCAGATATGAGAATTTTTCAGCCATTATTAAAATATATATTTTTAAAAAATATTTATCTAATTATATATATTTTTTTCCTTTATATCTTCCTGTTTGGAGACTCTTAAAATGTGAATGCTAGCTCTTTTGTTGGTGTCCTGAAGACCCCATAGGTTTTCTTTGTTCTTTTTATTCTTTTTTTTTCTCCTCTGACTGCATATTTTCAAATGACCTATCTTAGAGTTCACAAATTCTTCTGCCTAATCAAATCTGCCATTCACTCTATGACACATTTTGTTTCATTCTTTGTATTCTTTAGTTTCAAAATTTTTATTTGGTTCTTTTTTTAAATATAATTTTTATCTCTTTATTGAACTTCTTGTTTTGTTCATGTATTGTTTTCCGATATTGTTTAGTTGACTGTTTTCTTATAGCTTGCTGAGCTTCTTTAAAACTATCATTTAAAATTATTTTCAGGAAATATAAAGATCTCCTTATTTGGGGGCTGGTTGCTTGAATATTACTGTGTTCCTTTGCTGGTGTCATGTTTCCTTGATTTTTCATGTTCCTTGATATTTTCAGAAATGGTCATCTCCTCCAGTCTTTGTTGACTGTCCTGGGGATGGAATTGCCTTCACCAAATGTCTCAGCTAGGAGTTCTGAGGCTCTCTCAGACCTTTCCTCTGAATACCCCTGAGTTCACACTTGTGTTCTCTCTGGTGGGAGATTTCTTAGGCTTGTATGTCTTCTCCCAATCCTGAAAAGCCAACCTAGGTGATGCCTTGAAATATTCAAGTTGTGTACTTTCCTCCAATTTCACAAAGTTGAGGGGGTTGTTTTTGTAAGATGCTTGCATTTGCCTTCTATAGGGGTGTGTGTTTTAGGCGGGGTAGCTACGAGAAATGGCCCTGAGGTTGAGGAGTATTTGTGGTGCCCATGGTCACTGGTTCGGGGGCGGGGGCACAAACGATGCATCTCACGTGGCTCCTGGGTGGGCTTCCTAATGGAATCTGCAGAGTGTTTAGTAGGACCTGTTACTTCCATTCCTAGCTTCAGGCTTGTCCCAAACGCTCAGCCATCCTGATCACCTCAGTATTCTGCATGGGGAGACAGAGTGGTACGCCTCTTGGGCAATGTCCTGCCTGCAGGAGGAGCTGGGTATGACTCACTTTTCTCCATGGGGAAAATCATGGGGTAAGGTGTCTCTTGGCACTAGGTTGTGCTCTGATGGGGGAGGGTGACACGGGTAAAGTGCAACTCTTCTTTTTGCCCTCTTAAATACTTCTCAGATTTTTCTTTTCTCCAAAGTGCTGGA